TTTTCCTTGATTTAAGTAAAAACAATCTTCGGATTTTGATGGGGTTTTTAACAGGACCCCTCAACGAACACCTCAGTAGGCTGAAGCTGAGAAACAACGGCGAATGCAGATTCTGTGGGGAAAATGGGGAAACAACTTATCACTAAGTGCGCCAAGACGACGTGCGATGAACGGCTGATTTCGAGGATGGAGAGCTGGCCTCTGTGCGGAGCCGTATCAGATACTGGCTTTTGTTAAAGCCCTGAGACTGTGTGATGAGTTATAACTCGTTATAAGTCAAGAAATTCTAATCTCATATTTATTAAACAAACCATCATCTGAAATTCCAAAAAAAATGACTTTCTGGATTGGATGAGCATCCCCCCTTGAAGACTAAAAAGAATTAAAAAAATACACAATTAATGAAATAAATCCCTTTTAAATAAGAAGAAAATAACTATACAGGAACACACAGTACCACAAATTACCTATAACAGATGCGAAAGAAAGCGACTGCATCGGAAACCGCTCGGCAAACCCGACACGCCTATTGAGTGGTGTAAATACACCAGTCGTTTAGTCCGGAAACCTATGCTGTGTCGTATTCGCTTGCTGGAATGACATAGTGCGTGGTTATATGTTTCTTTTTAAAAACGCGTGTAGGATTTTGTTGAACTTTTGAACTGTTATTTCTAAGGTTTGGTAATTTGTATATCTTATTTAAAATGGAATGCAAATGTGTTTTATTTATAAGGAAAAAAAGATATTTATAGTATAAAAATTAATTTATTTAACAAAATTTAATTAAAAATGTGACAAAATAGTTACCTTTCTATTGGTTCTATCGGACTTTTTCGACTATATAAATCTTTATTTGTACACTTAATACATCAAATATTTTCAATCTAATAAATCATTTAATGATGTAAATAAGAGGAAATTTCTCACATGGGTGGTCAAATTTTATAGTTTTCATTATATCAAACAGCCTCTGAGAAAAGATTTCAACTCAAAATGCCTTTAATTATGTTTGACTACATCATTAAAAAGGGTCTTCAAATACATCAATGTGATATTTGTCTAAAATTTGCAAAAGAATCCGAATCTCTGGATAACTCGAAATTATTTACCCATTTAAAAGCCTTTGATCATGAAAGTGGAAAAATTTGTTCATTTTTTTTTGACGGGCTGGAAAAATTATTTATATTAAATTTTGATGAGTTTTGCACTGAATAAAACATTCAGAGGCTGTTTGATATAATGAAAACTATAGAATTTGACCACCCATGTGAGAAATTTCCTCTTATTTACATCATTAAATTATTTATTAGATTGAAAATATTTTATGCATTAAAGTTAGTACAAAAAATAAAGATTTATACAGTCGAAAAAAGTCCGATAGAACCAATAGAAATGTAACTATTTTGTCACGTCTTTAATTAAATTTTGTTAAATAAATTATTTTTTAAACTATAAATATCTTTTTTTTTCCTAATCTCCTACGAGCTGATATAATATGACGAGCAATCTATTAAATTACTGTGAGATTATACAGAAAAGTCCACAGACTTCGAGACATAGGAAAATCAAGTCCAGTTAGCGTGTGTCCAAATTTTGACAAGTTTTCAAAAATTACAGTTTTGTTTAGACTGACATTTAATTTCGCCTGACTTCTCGGTGAATGATTTTATGGGAGTACATACAATCTAAAATTTACGGCCATGAAGAAATTAAAAACTTGGAGCAGTTAAGACAGAAAATATTTAATGCCTTTGACACTGTCACCCCTGATATGTTATCCAATGTGTGGAGGGGATTTTATGATCATTTGGGTTATTGTTTAATGCAAGAGGGAGGCACTTTTGAACAATTTTTGTAATTTTTTAAATTTCATTATCCTGTTTTTTTACCGTTTACCCATTACCTACCTTGACGGACATGGGAAAACGGAGGTCCTTTTCAGGACCGCAAATATTCTGATTGAGAAAATTGGTAACTTTTTTTTGGATTAAAAAACAAAAGTTGTTAATATAATATCAATTTAAAAGGGTTTTAGTAGTTTTAATACACACTATGATATAAAATTTATTATTATTATAATGTACATTATTAATACTATTGTTCATTCGAAATGGCATTAAGGCCCAATTGCAACAATGATTTAAATTTTTCTTAAAGATAAGTAGAGCTTAGAATGAGCTGTATTTATATTTACTTTAATATTCACCTTAAATAAGGGAATTTGACTGATACAATTTTTGAATTTGAATTGTTTTTAATGATACTAACAATTTTAGTTCAATTTTTAATAAAATTTATTTAATATTAATAGAAATCCAAGAGATTTGAAACCTCTTTTAGCGATTTATAACATTCTCAAATTAATTACAGGTGCCCTTATTTTCTATGAAAATCACACAGCTTTTTTCATAGTCGCTGCTGTTGCTATAGCTATATAAAAAGGTGTGAAAATTGCGACACACGCTAAATGGACTTGATTTTTCGTATGTCTCGAAGTCTGTGGACCTTTTTGTATGCCTCGATAACATATTGGTGCAGATTATTTTCACCCAAACAAATAATAACCCAAACTATACATTGATGCCGATTGTCTATGAACTCTTTCTGAAGGTCACAGAAACCTGAACGCGTAATTCGGTGTTCTTTCGCATCTGTTATAGGTAATTTGTTACAGTACAGCTTATATCTATTGCATATTCATATCGTACACCTAAAATACACACCTCGACAAGATTCAGTGGTGAAATGGTTTTAATCGTTTTATATACAGGACACTGAAACCCTTCGATGTCTACAAAAATATATAAAATTAATAAATTAAGGAAAAAAATTATATTGTAACAATTTAATAGTAATGAAAGTACGCAAAAATATAGCATCTAATTTAGATATTCAGGTTGTTGACTTTTCTCTATTTACATCAGCTCGACTGGGTCTTAATTACTCATCTCTTTTTTATATCCATTTCTCGGTTATCTTCCATTTAAAACTTAAGATTTTTTTTAAAACTCAAGGTGTGAAAATTGTTGGACTTTTCAAGAATCTTGACCCCATTCGTGTCTTCACAGGAATAACACGTTTGGTTTGTATTTTACAATTGATGATTTTGATTGAAGGGTCCAGAGTCCAGAGGAAAAACATGATTGATGTGGCATTTCACTAATTTTACAGGAGAGCGAGAAAACGCCTCGTTCGGAACGTAATAATGTGACTACTATACTTGTAATGACTATGTTTTGTAGGTTTACTAATTACAGTAATGGGAAATGAAATAAATACTAAATTTTGAAAACCAGAAAAAATTTAATGAAAATGTGGACGCCTAACAAACTAAAAAAATGTTTTCAAAATACACTCAGATATGAGGCAGTGTGTATCTTCAAGAGTACTTAAGGGAACCTACAGTTAGGTTAACACACAGGCACAAATGACACAGGTATATATATTGGCCAGAGCCTCCAGAAAATCCACTGTTCCGACATAATGACAAAAATCAAAACTCTAATAGTTGCACAAAACACTCCTAAAACAACTCACGACTCGCGACTAGTCAGGAAAAAACAGAACATAGAAAAGAAAAAGTACTTAAATTACACCTAAAAATTAAAAAATTAATTTACCGATTAAAATACATTATCTAATAAGAATTTTCGCAGTTTGTTTTTATAATTATCCTGATACAGTGGCGCATCTAGAGATTGAGTCTGGAACGGGTAGTGGTAATATTTAAATAGAATATTACATTGAATTTTTGCTGAAAGATGTTGTGACTGCGGAAAAAGATAAACTCTGATTGGGCTGAATTTTCTATTTTGATTGGCTTTATTAATTTCTTTTATGGTAACATTTTATCTGATTTATAAATTTCTTGAGTACTTGGGATTCACAATCCTGAGGTAACAATAGGCGGTTGAAGCGTAGTGCTAGCCACATTACCTTCCTTGTATACCGAACGGCTCTAGTATAGCAAGCTGTACCTTGCTACTTCTAAGGCATCAAACGCTATATACGGGAGCTATTATTATTATTATAAATTTCTTTCTAGGAGGGATAATTATCCCCATTACCCCTCCCATTTATGCACCCTTGTCCTGATGCAAAGTTGGCACAAGTTTAGAAATAATCTTATTAAAACATTTTATGCCTAAATATGATGGTGCAATTAAATGGACTTATCAAGTTATGTCCCTGGACGATTGTTGTTTATCAGGTTCTTTGCCTGTTTGTATATTTTGACTAGGCATATATCAAAGGATTTAACAGATTATTGCTCTGCAGAGTTTATGCATTTTGTAGGGACCAATTAGACCTATTATAATGTGGTAGAATGTTTTCCCCTGAACCTTTCAATTAGTAAAGACCATAGGCAAAGTAAATTTGACCTGTCTTAGTAAAGGTCATTGAAATAAATTTTACACCCAACTAATTTTTCTAAAATCGTTTGATAGTTCAAAGTACTTGACACCTTCCATATCTTCAAAGTAATATAAAATTTACATATGTAATAAAACGCATTTCTCTTATAAGGACGTTGTAAATTTGAATCAAATGGATTGTTTATGTTCATCATTTAGTTTCACCATTAGTTGTTTTAGACGATAATCTGAGTAGATGTAAGGTAGAAAAATTGATTACTTCCTTCCATGATTGAAAAAAAAATTCACTATAAAAACCATTAACTAAATAAGAACAGAATAAATTTAGGTCTAATAGACTGTTGATGTTGTTCTATTTACTTCCACTTCATCGGACCTTTAATTAAGAACTTGTTATTTATTTTGACGAAAATCCCTGTGGATATAGGGCCGGAAAAGCGAAAAAACGAATGTGTTAGGGGCGTGGAACCGCCGTGGGGCAACCCGCTCCGCAAGAATACACACAAACAGCCGAAGAAACCGTGGAAAAATCGATGTCACCGCATGTCGTCGTCGCGATGACGGCCGACTCGTTCCTTTGTCGTCATGTACACAGTATCATTGACCGCCTTGAAATAGACTTACCTCTGTTTGGGCTAAAATCCCCGCTAGCAGGCCGAAAACACAGACGAACGTCGTCGGACGCAACATTTCCAAAAAGAGTTTTTCCACCAGAACGCGGAACCGCACCGTAAACGAACTCTCCTGGTTAAAAGTTGTACTACGACTGCTCCACCTACCGGGGCTTCACGTCGCTCGCATGCGCCCTCTGGTGAGTCATACAAAGGCGCGCGGGCGGGCGGCAGACCGCCTACGTCACGAACGCGAGACCGGAATAACGAAATCGAAACGCTGTGTTCGTAGGACCACTATAATGTCCGATGAAATTTGCCGGACATTGCGATTCAAATACAGGGGACCTTTTTGCGTCTTCTTCCTTCTTCCGTTGCAGTTATTGTACCAGCGCGCTTCAAGTTTTTCCTACCACTACCAGGCTCCTATTAGTCCGGTTGAGCTACCAAAATCCGTGTGTTTTTAGAAGAGGGAATATTTTTTATGATTCTAAATAATTTTTAAGGTGTTAACGTTGAAATTAAGCGTGGAAACACTTCGAAAATGTTGGCGTTTGGTTGCTACATTAAATTATACCAGCGGAAAAAAAATTGGCACCGAGAGGCACGTATAGCCGCCCATACTAAAATATGTTAATAAAAAGTTGATAGTTGCAGTTCTTTTAGTTTCAAAGTAAAGGAATTTTTCCAATTTTTTTTTATCTCAAAAACTGTGACTTTGACTGATTTTGATGTTATTACAAATTTTGTTGCAAATATTATTCCTAATCTTAAATTGAAAACCGCGTTTCGCTAGATACTGTAATTTTGGAGATACGATTTTTTAAAATTTTTAACCCCCTTCCATACCCCGTTACCAACCCCCCACGCCCACCAAAAACTAATGGCCAGATTCTCGGGTGCCACAGTATTTTTGTGCCAAATTTGGTTAAAATCGGTTTAGCGGTTTTTGAGTTATCGTGTTACAGACAGACACCATGAAAATATTTTGTATATAGGTCATTTATAACCCAAATAACTTATTCTGAGTGAAATTAAAAAAAAAAAATTTTTTGCCGATCTTAATAGCCTACCATAATACCTGTTGGTATGGTCGGCTAATAAAGGTGTAAATAAAAATAAGATGTTTCCTCTCGGAAACAGTAAATAGGTTATAAACGACCAGTGAGGCCTTTACAGATAGAGCTAGTGGAGCTCTATATTCGCCCCATTTAAACTGTGTTTCGAAAATGCACACTTTCCGAGATATTTAATTTGAAAGATTTCCATTGTCGATTTTCTGGATATAATTCTAAATGCAATTTGACCCCCTTTTTAGGTTATGTTCTATTTAAAAAAAAATGTCGAAAATGTTCTGCCTTGTTTCGAAACACAGTTTAAATCGGTTATTATTTATTTTTCCTCACCCTGTATGCATTTTTCGGCAAACTGTGCAAACTAAAAAATTTAACTAATCGATCTGTATCGATCCACGCCCAAAAATCTTTCGAATTATCTTTCAAAATAGCTCCACTATCTGTAGGGGCGTCACTGGTCGTGCAAGTGGCAATTATCCCATATCCTGAAAATAATTGAGGCTAAAGAGGCTAAAAAATTCAAAGAAATCTGAATTTATTATAATTTTAAATCTGAATCTGACTTTAACTACATGTTATTCAATGTTATTCACTGACTGTAAAAATAGAATTTGAAAAGGAGAGTTCAAAGAGATACTTATGGGGTGTTAAATTGTAAAAATATATCAAAACATTATATACAATATTTCGCACGAAGAAATCTTCCGCGATTGCGGAAAATATGCCTCTTCGACAAAATGCACCAGTTTGAGCATAGATAAGAAAGTCTGAGGACAATATTCTCTACAACTCATACCATGAGCATTACAGAAAATCTATACGAGCCCTAACAACTATATGTTGGGATAAGGTAATATTTTGGAATTATTGCCCTGGTTTTTCAAAATGACTGAAAAATATATGTTTAATTTTTTAAATATAATCATAGCCATATATCCTAAACAACTTGACAATATTTTTATGAATTTGTAAATCAATCCATATTTACAGTAGAGAATTTTGTTCATAAAAGGACAAATTTGCTAACAACTAAATGTTGGGACAAGTATTTTTAAATAATTAATATCATCATAGGCGGCTTTGCTATAAACGTCAAATGTCGCAAACTGTTTACTTCAGCATTGACAGCTTGTAAGTGATTCGATACTTTGAGTAGTGAGATTTACTGTAAGTAATTTTAATTTTTTTATACTGTAAGTAATTTTAATTTTTTTAATTTTCAATTTTGTTAATTATTTAATTCAAAGTAATGGTCCGTGGAAAAGCTACAAATCAAAAACTACGCGAAATTATCATTCGTCAATACAGTACGGGAAAAACAATTCGAAAAATTTCTGATGATTTAAGTATTCCAAAAACCAGGGTCTTTAATATAATCAAAAAATACGGCGAATCAATGTAGACGTTAGAGCCGTTAGAGGTAAAAGTTCGGGAAGGCCAAAAGTTGTATCTCAAAGAGATTTACGAAATTTAGTAAAAATTTGCAAGTCTGCGAGAAGAAGTACTCTTCGCGAAGTAATAGTTAAATGTTATACTGTAACTGGTTTAAATATATCAAGAGAATGTTGCCGAAAATATATCCACAAATGCGGTCTGGGGTTTTACAAGATAAACTTTATTTTGTGTGGATAATCAATTACCTGAATATTATTGATACAAATTCTTATTTAGGCCAAAGAAAAACCGCTACTGACAGAAATTCAAAAGAAAAATCGCTACAATTGGGCAAAATCTAAATTATCGTGGACATAAAATGATTGGAATACGGTCATATTTAGCGATGAGTCTAAATTTGATGATTGCGTTGGAGATCATCTAAAACGAATAATACGAAATAAAGCAGAAGCCTTTCATAAAGATTGCTTAAAGAGGGTTGTTAAAATTCCTAAGGGGATTATGGTTTGGGGTTGCATGTCAGCAAGAGGTTTGGGCAAATTAGATTTTATAGATGGCACTGTTAACGCCCAAAAATATCAACATATACTTGAGACCTCACTTTTGACTAGTGCTCAAGAATTGTTTCCAAACGAAGACTATATTTTCCAACAAGATGGAGCATCGTGCCATTCAGCAAAATCTACTAAAAATTGGTTCGGTAATAATAATATAAAAGTTCTATCCCATCCTTCAAGTAGTCTGGACCTGAAGGTTATAGAAACTGTGTGGCATAAAATGAAGCAATATTTAAGAAACCACCCTCAACGAACAATTTTTGATTTGCGGGCAAAACTGCAGGAAATTTGGGATAATTTTTCTCCTCAAATGTGCCAATCTTTGATAAATACAATGCCATTAAGAGTTCAGGCAGTTGTTAAGGCGAAAGGTGATGTAACTCTGTATTAAACAAATTTCTTGTGCTGTCCCAATATACAGTTGTCAGCAAATTTGGCTTGATTTTGGCAAAAGCTATTATCAAAAGTGATTTGTTTGCAAAGTTATAAAAACATAGTTAAATTGTCTAGATCATATTGTAATGTTTGAATTTAGAACAATAAACAAAATAAATTGAGTCGTTTTAACAAATTACTATTTTTTATTGCAAACAAGACCTTGTCCCAACATATAGTTGTTAGCGCTCGTACGTCGCACGGTTTGGTGTATGGCAGGGTTTCTGTCTACTTTAAAAAGTCCAGTGTGCGCCGTCAGTCACATAGCCTAGCCACCAAATTTGGTCGCGATCGGACGACATCAACTTTTGACGTTTCTTACGTCAAAACTAACTGTTACAATGACACGTATCGTACACGATCAAGTTGGCTTTTGATCGACATACCAAATTTCATTTAAATCAGACAATTTTCCAGGCAATTTTCTCTAAGCCGTATAGGCTGTCCTTACCTCTTTTCCTCTCGTGTGTCGTGTACCGTGTCGCGGCCTTGAATTTTTACTCCGAACGTGAGTAAAGAAGTTTTACATCAAAAATCCTCAAGGCTTCGACTGCGTAGTTTTGCCTTAAGGAAAAACTGTATGTGTGTGACAACTTTAACTTGTGCTCCCATTTGAGTTTCAGTTCGTGCCACTTGCGGTGGTCTCATATTATTTCTACTCCAGTTTTTCTTTATTCCGCTAGATGAAATCGTAACGTGATGCATTTGGCGAAGCACAATTTCTTTTTTCAATTATCCGTAGGATGCTATTATTGTGGAGAACCTAGTTTTGAGTAGCCATTACAAGGGTATTTACAGGTTAAAATAGTTTGGAAAACGAGAGGTGAACACTGTTATATATGAGTCAAATTAAAGAATAAACACTTTGTATTTAAGAGTATAATAAGAGTCCATAACTAGCCCGAAAAAGTAGCAAAATAAGTGTTCGGCATTTAACGTTTTATGTAAAACTGGCTAGCTATTTTTACACAAATGACGAAGGGAATTAAAGATAAAGGATTATACTATATCCGTATTGTAGCACATTTTTAGACAACTTATTTATTTTTAAGATTTTGATGATCAAACATATATTCCTTATGTTTGGACTAAATTTTCTCGAAAATAAAGACATAACTTAAAATTCCGTTACAATACGGATATAGATTTGAAGTTTTTTGATTACAGTGACATATAATTTATATGGTTTTGTAACAAATTGCTCGCTATTTTATGGCAAATGCTGAAGCTCTGCAAACCTTAATCAAGCCTTAATCAAAGCAGGTGTGTTTGGAATTTTGGATGTGGCTTGACACGACAGGATCGGCCTTAGGCAGATTTCTGAAATATAATATATATTTCCTTCGGCCACACACCCGCTTTACCCAACCATTGAGAGCGACCCGAACAGATAGTAGCGTAAAAGACTCTTAAGAGCTGTTAAGAAGGTCAGTTTTGTTGATGTAAATAATACCTGTTTTTTATCATATTTTTGTTTCATAAAATATTTTAATTAAACGAAAATATATAAAAGTGGACAACGCTGTGCCGATCAAGTTTAACTTTATTTGGTCACAACTATATCTCACCGGCAAAAAAAAACCGGCCACTAAAAACTAGTCCCAATTTCAAAGTTGAATTAATACCTTCTTAACGGATGCTACGCCAGAAATTTTTATTTCGAATTTATTTTAAGCATGTACAGGGTGGGTCAAATTCGA